ACGTTCCAGAACGAATTTAAGTGTATTATTTTATAAATATATCTAAAATAAATATGTAAAATAATAAATAACAATGAAGAACATACAAAAACAACAAAAAAAAAATTGAAAATGTATTACAAAAAAAATAGAACGTGATCTTTTGAGCTTAGAACCTATGCCAATTTGCTGATATGGTTCCAAAAGTTATCAAAAACTTATATTATAAACATTCAATTTTCATCATCGTATTCTATGATCTCGAAGTCCGGAACTCCACCAAACCCATCAACATCATCAGTGCTTCTTCAGAACTTTGAAGCGTTCTATAAAATTGAAGGCAATCCACTTCCTGTGCACCTCTTCTACCTCTCCTTCTACCAATACATAACAATGCCCAGTATCATTAAATGCACTATGGATACCACTATTGTAGAACTAAGTAAAAAAGTTAAACCTCTTCAAGTTTACAAAATGACAAAGACTGATTTTTTTAGTACAACTAAACTGGAAAAGAAGATTATCAATAGGAAGAAGTTTACAGACTCATCTAAAGTTAGTTGGCTACATACAAAAGAAATTAAGTTGGATAAAGATAAAATGTTTTCTATTTTTATGCGGTCTACGATGGAAGACGATTTCAATGAGTTGAAAATTGATAAAAGAATAAAACGAGAACTGCAATACATAAAAGAATCTGATTTTTGCTTATTGTGGCCTAACGACAAACCGATTGCTCCAGCGAAATTAGTGGACTTACAATCCATGTACCACTACATACCCGAGGATTGCCTTCAATTTTATAGAACGCTTCAAAGTTCTGAAGAAGCACTGATGATGTTGATGGGTTTGGTGGAGTTCCGGACTTCGAGATCATAGAATACGATGATGAAAATTGAATGTTTATAATATAAGTTTTTGATAACTTTTGGAACCATATCAACAAATTTTTGGCATAGGTTCTAAGCTCAAAAGATCACGTTCTATTTTTTTGTAATACATTTTCAAATATATTTTTTTGTTGTTTTTGTATGTTCCTCATTGTTATTTATTATTTTACATATTTCTTTTTGGTTTATTTTTATAAAATAATACACTTAAATTCGTTTTGGAAAGTTTATGCATAATTGCTATTTAACAAGGTTCATACAAAATTAATTTAGCAAAAACATTTCAAACTCGTTTTACCTATTTATATGCCCCTTGTATTATGTATTTACAAAAAATATGCATATCATTCAATAATCAGTTTGGCATTCCATAGTTAAACCAATAGTATTTGCCTGAAATAATTACAGGGAAAAAGTGTGTAAATTGCAAATTGGGGTTGCTGTGGGTTGGAACATTTTCGCGTTACTACGTCCAAATATACCATAGTTATTTATTTTGGTAAAAAATATCTTTTTCTCTAGAACATATTTAATAGCAAAAATGGATCAAGTATATGTGGATTGTTTATAGCAAAAAATATGAAAATAATATATTATAATAAAAGGTTTCAATTTATTTAGAACAGTGTTCGCAGCTTAAAAAAACAGTATGGATTAATCTAAAGGGTTTCAAATTACATGGAACATTTTTGCAGAAATAAAAAATGTATAAAGATTTTGCAAAAACGTTCCAACCCACATGGATCATTTAAGAAACCATTAAATGTGCGTTTTATGAATTTAGTATAATGTTCCAAGACAAGTGGAACATTATAACGATATGTTATTCTATTAAGAGTTTTTAACAATATGTTTCAGTATGCATGTAATGTTTTTACTTTATTTTGAGTACACGTCCTTGGCATAATGGTGGGTTGGAACATTTGGGTTAAACTTTATTGATGAAACTAACTTAAAAATACTAGCATCTTTGTGTGCACATGATGTAATATGGCAAAAATAGTACCCTGGTTATGGTAACTCATTTTCGAGTGACTTGTGGGTTGGAACGTTTTCGCGTAACTACGTCCATTTAATGAAATGATTTTCTGTTCTGCAGTTCCGTTGGCTTAATATTTTTAGGAATTCAGGAATTTCCCTAAAGTAGTACGTTTTTTTAATCGTCATATAAATGGTGTGTTTCTTTTTGTTATAAATAATTATCCTCTCGTAGGCCGAAACCTGTTATAGTTAACTAGTGGCCGACCGTGACTTCGTCCGCGTTAACTTTGGTTTTTTGAAAATCCCACAGTACGTAGATATGTCTCAATCCAGGTCAAAATCTATATGCGTTTGGAGATGTTTAACCGCTGCTCCCCACTAGCGGAACGGAGTAATTAAACGACGATACGTCAACTTATCAGTATTTTGAAAATACTCGCAATTTAAAAAAAAAACAATTCGTATGGACGAAATTTTCTTCTCTGAAGTCTATTTTTAGAATGACAATTAAAAATTCAACAGAAAATATCAAAAAGAACATAATTATAAAACTTAATTTCTAATGTGCCAGTGTCTACGGAATGTCCATAGACACTGGCTGTATGGCGACATGGACCAACTTTTATGCGGTGCAAAGTCGCCACACCACCCCCCTACGGAGTAAGAAAGAGCAAGGCACAAAACAAAGAAACAAAAATAAACTACTACTTAAGTAACAAAATCATCAAATTTCTTAAACCTAACGTGTCTTCCTGTCCGGGTTTTATAGGGGTTAGTGGAGGTGGAAGCATGTCCTGTGTCTGTAGCTTTCGGAGACGGTTGGACAGGAACTTGCTGCTGACGTGCCGGTTGTGCGGCAGCACTAGGGTGTGAGTGACCCTTGCAGTCGTCGGATTCGTCGTCGATGTGAGCAGGCTTGACCCGGTCGATGCTGACGGTGGCTTCTCTCCCGTTGACAAGAATGGTAATAACCTTGTCCTTCTTCTCCAAAACGCGATGTGACCCAGAGTACGGTGGTTGCAGAGATCTTCGGCAAGTATCGTCGCGCAAGAACACGTGAGTTGCCGTGGCCATGTCTTTAAAGACGAAAGACGCAGGTTTGATCTGACGTGATGCGGAAATTGGCCGAATGCTGTCCATCTCGAGTCTCAATTGGGACACAAAATCTGCAAATTCTGCAGAGTTCGCTGGAGTTGGAGGAGGAACGAGAAATTCACCAGGGAGGTGAAGTATCTCACCGTATACCAGTTCGGCAGACGAAGACTTGATGTCTTCTTTGAACGCCGTCCGCATGCCGAGCAAAACAAGTGGCAGAGCCCGGGTTCACGTTTCCGCGTGGCACATCAGGGCTGCCTTCAGTTGCCGATGAACTCGCTCCACCATGCCATTAGCACAGGGGTGGTAGCTAGTGGTGCGGGCGCATTTGGAGCCATAAAAGCGCATAAGCTATTGGGATGACTCAAACTGACGCCCCTGACACTAGGCACCCCGAATAGTGCAATCTACCCCAGCATCAATTTCTCGGCAACTTCTTACGCCGTTATCGAAGACATCGGCCAAGCCTCTGGCCAACGGGTGAAACGGTCGATAGCCGTCAAGCAATAGCTGAACCCGTTGGAGAATGGAAGAGGTCCGATGATGTCGATGTGAATATGGGGGAAGTGGCCGGATGGAAGGTCGAATTGACCAGGGGGTGACTTGTTGTGCCGTGACACCTTGTTTTTCTGGCACTGAATGCAGCGCCGCAGAGGCGGCGGCCGTTACTTGAATTAATCTCGCAATCAGTTGCCACCGTTACTGATTGCTCTCCGCGTTTTCTGCCTTCCAGTTACAAGGGCTGTTGCACCGGACTGCCTTCGTACCAAACTTCATGTGGTACCAACAGGTCTTGCGTCTCTCCAGAGTAGTGCTGCGCGAAGAACTACCTTTTGAAGAGGAGCGGGCGCGGGGTAGGCGCTGGGATTGGGCTTTCGTTAAAGCAGCTATCGATCTACTCAATTCATCGAGTCGCTTCATCATCGACTTCACTGTTTGCTCCATGCTGGCAGCGGATGACGTGCTAGTAAAAGCCGTAAAAGGAAAGCTACAGACAGATGGCCTGAAAGTATGTATCGATAGATTTAAATCTTGGACAGGAAAACACGTGCTTAGGAGACGGACACAAAACTAAACTAAACAAAAATAAAATTAAAATATTCATCAAGATTCCTAAAAAAAACATGGCATTATAAAAGTAATATTTACAATTATTTTGAAAGTTAAAACGTAAAACAAAGATAGAAAAATAGCAAAAATACAAACAAAACACTATCGTAAATGATGACGCAATAAGATGTTAACACGGCGTCACGTCACGGCGCTCGCGCGCTCTCGTCCCAGAATGTATTGACATCTGTGGTGTATTTCCAGCGTGTGCCTGAATTACGAGCGATCGCTGATGCGTTGACTACCGGCCGTAGTAATGATGGGAAAACTCACCCCTGTAGTTAACTTGATAGTATTATGTACATACGAGTAAGTTTCCAATAATACGGAAGGCCTTTGCCGTGTAACTCCTGTTCGTCTAATTTATTTCTTCACTTGTCGGGGTCACCAATTTGGAGATGTTTAACCGCTGCTCCCCACTAGCGGAACGGAGTAATTAAACGACGATACGTCAACTTATCAGCACTATATTTTGAAAATACAATTCGTATGGACGAAATTTTCTTCTCTGAAGTCTATTTTTAGAATGACAATTAAAAAGTCAACAGAAAATATCAAAAAGAACATAATTATAAAACTTAATTTCTAATGTGCCAGTGCCTACGGAATGTCCATAGACACTGGCTGTATGGCGACATGGACCAACTTTTATGCGGTGCAAAGTCGCCACATGCGTACCAAACATCATCTTCAGTAGTTTTTGCGTGATTGAGTAACAAACATACGAACTTTCACATTTATAATATTAAGCAGAATATTCAAATAGTAAATTTTAAAGTACAAAGAAACAGATTCGTAAACTAAAATGTTGATGAATGAATAACACCTGTTTTGAAAATCAGTATCTCTATTGGTATATTTTCTCTGTGCAAGTCGATATATTCCAGTATTTTTTTGAGGTGCTTCGGTATATTTGTAAAATTTATTCTGGTCACACTGGACTGGTGGTCTGACAGTTCCTGACCTGTTAGTACTTTGACACATTCTCTATTGTGTATTTTTCTTTTCTGTGTTGTCTGTGCCGATGTAACTGTTACTAAATACCTACTACTACCTCATCTGCCGTGAGCGTACTGTATTAGGTAGGTAATTATTTGCCAGCTGGGCGGTTACGATATTAATTTTTCTATCCTTAGTGTTTTACAATTTGGTGCCTGTTAAACTCAAGGTAAGTACATATTCTATAGCCCACGTAGGTAATGATTTTTTCACGTAGTTATAAATCGATACCAATAGTCAGTCGCTCCTATTTACGAATGGAACAAATCTAAATAAAGTGCATTAACCTTTACTAAATGTTTTGTTTAATTCCGGATGTTATTAAAACATGATTTTGAGTCTGCCAATGAGCTGGTAAATATTTTTAGGAACAAAACAATGCGAAGTACCCACTTATTTAGAGATACCAATAACTGAAATGCAACTGAATTGCGAAATTGCTAATAGAGATGCAAGATTCATTGTTATGGTTAACTAAGCAATGAAACTGAATTGTCTGTTTAAGAATTGATCATAAATCAAACTTTTTTTCTTCTAGTTATGTGCTTTCACTGTAATGCAAACAATAACTACCATTATCCATGATGAAACAACCTGAAGTATTATTATATTTATCTACTATTTAACTTATAACATGCTCTGAATTACTGAATTATTGCTTAATAAGTTAAACAAACAAAGGCTAATTAATGCCAGAGACGGATTTAAGGCTAAGGGGCTATGGCCCAGGCCCCCACAAGAGAGTTAAATAAAAACTAATATTGACTGGTCACAAACCAGGGGGGTGGGATACAAATCATAAATGGCCCGAGCTGGATTTTGGGGCCACACCACACAGCCAAATCTGGCTCTGGTTAGTGCTGGTACACTGTATTTTTATGTGTTACTATATGCCTATGGGATGATGCCTATCCATTTACATGTAACAGAAGTAACAGCACCTAACTTTGAAGTAAGATACTCTATCCTTAATTTTGTATATGAATTGTCAGCAACTAGCAGTGACAGATAGTGCTAGCTAACAAGCATCTGTTTAACCCAACTTTGATTTAAGTTCTTATTAATGGGCCAGTATTACATTAAGCATGCTAATCTTAGGCCTTTTTTATACAAGTAATATAGCAAACTGGGGTAGTACCCTGCCTTATGTTAAATCTAATTAAAGTTTATTTGAGATTCAGCAAATGTAGCAGTTTAATGTGCTGCTTCAGTTATTTATACCATGCCAGCCTTTACCAAAACTACTACCCTGTGGATTCTTTTAACTCAACCTACCACCAAGGAGTAGTGTTATTTTTATTGTGTTTTGTATATGAGGTAGAGGTTACTTCTCCAAATAGGTGCTCTAATTCCAGCAAAGAATCTGCTTTGCCCTACTGTTCTTTCTCAGACATTTCCCTTAATATGCAGTTTATTTCTGTTGTGAAACCTTAACATAAGTTTCTCCTGAATATTGCATCATCAGACTGCAGCATTGAAGGTTATGTTACTATTTGAGACATAACTGTGCGAAACATGCTTTTCTGCAGTTCCAGTAATAGAGAACAATTACCTACTTACCGATCGAAATAATAATAATAAAACAAATGTAGAGATTTTTTAACTCGAGCCCTGTTTTGAGAAGTTATTCTTTGAAAAGCAAGAATATATATAAGGTTGCTTTTTTTGCTTGCAACATTTATAGTGTCTGGCAATAAAAATTGCTGACAGAATGTGTTTGGTAGTATTCATTTCAAATTGTTTACAATATCCTCCACAACATACCTAGAAACCAGTCCTTAGACTTTAAGTGAGTAAAATTTTTACGTGCCTGTGCTGTGTGATACCTGAAAATTGATCCACAACATTCATTGTTGACAACCTCTGTGGCTGAGTGGTTTGGACGCTGTGTTTCAAAGTGTCACTTACTTGAGAGGTCCTGGGTTCGAATCCCGGTGAGGGCAGATGACTGTGTGATGAATACAAGCATTTTTACTCCAGTCATGGATGTTAACTGTGTGTTTCTATATAAATATATTTATATATGTATTCTATCCATTACCCTAGTATCCCATAACACAAGCCTACAGTGCTTACTTTGCGGCTAGGCTAATTGGTGTGAGCGTTGGAAATATTTATTTTATTTATTTACTACACAATTATCCATATTTTGTCCATGAGAAAATAAGTAAGGTCTGGTGGTCTTTGGATCTTGTACTAGTAGGTAGTGTTGACCAGGGCGTCGCAAAAAAATGACAAACCCCTTAGGGCATCACAATAAAAATAATTTTAGGAAGTCCTGATATAGCCTTTGACACTCACTAATAACGTGGCTTTCTATTGCTAAAAGTATTTTCAAAATTGGTTCAGTAGATCCACAGATTACCCCCTACAACGTCCAAAACTTACTCATTCCAAACTTTACCTCTTTATATAATACACATAATGTGAAAACCTATAATATTTTTATCATCCACTATTTTTATTTTTATAAGCTCAACTCAGGGAAAAATAAAAACAGATCTCTTGGCATTTTTTAAAGGAATATATCAATATTACAGATAAGGTATTTTAGATTTGTTCCCAGTGGTTTTTTTCGTAGTTCTTCTGTAACTTGAAAGGCATGTTATGTTGTTGATCTCAGTTGCATCTGCAGTCCTTATCGGACCACCAAACTGTGCCGGGCTCACGTAGTGGGTCATGGCGATGGCCTTTTCTCTGTAAAGAAAACCTTTTGCCCACCAATAATTGTGTATGTACTTAAGAATTAGTTAAAGTAATTTAAAATCCTTATGGTACTGTGCGTGATAATGAATACCATACACATAACCATATGAGAGCATTGGGTAAATACAAAATATAAACTTGGATATAAAATACACTTACCTTTTACGGGAGTAAAAAACTAGCAGTAAATCACCATGTGGTTTTGTTCTTTTGTTATTTCAATATAAATAATAACACCAAATGTAACCAAAGTTAATTGACATGTCTGAGTGTGCCCCTTATCTTTATTAATCTCTAGATCAATTTTCAGACCTCTAGCGTCTAAATTGCGGAAGTCTCATACAAACCTCCATACCCTAGTTAAAGGGGTTGGAGACTAAAAGTTACAAGTTTCACTGTCGTACCCGTAGATTTATTTACCATTAAATACGTGAACACATTCCAAGTAACAACTTTCATTAGACAACGGGATGGGACAACGGTCAGCTCTTCTAGTCCAAAGGTTGCGAGTTGGAATCCCGTGTGCATTATTTGGTGTTATGAGTTTGTTTCCCAATCATGTTTTTTTTACTTTTTACATATACGTGTTTTATTCACTATTATGCACCCGCTCTTACTAGGGCTTTGTACCCCAATCACTAACTTTGTACCGTCATCGTCAAATTTTGTATAGAAGGATCCTGGTTGTTCTTACGACGGGTACTGGGCACTGCTTAGTTTTCATAGAAACTTTGACGATCGATACAATAACGGAGCTGTCAAGTTACTACTTAGTTTAAGTTACCCAAAAATATGTTTAATATTAGTAGATATATATAATAGAAATTAATATTCTATGTTTTTCTATATGATGGAACCAATGACAAGATCAGTATAGTGTAATTAAATTCTTTACACTATCTTTTATTACCAATATCCCGCTATGTAATACTTCTATATTCTACAATGCCTTAAAGGACACATACCTATAAGGAATTACGACGTTATTCAAGCTATGTCCATATGTATGTAGATGTTTAAAAAATATATTTGTATAGCTGTGCAATAATATACACAATCTTATATTGCTGTGTACCTATATTATTTCAATTATTATTTTATATATTTCATTTGAGACCATATTCGACAGGTCACTATAGGCTTTCATAGTTTTTATAAAAAATACAACGCTCTTTCTTTTTTTACTAATTCCTTTCTATTTTCTAATCTTCCTCCTACACAAAACATCGCAATTTATGTGACATCCTTGTATGTGTTTGTCTATTGATACCGCTGTTAAGTACTCGGCATTTTAAGTGCAAGTAACAGTAGCAGTAGCAAGCGTGCGGAAATACGTATTAAAAGAGAAAAAGCAGTATAAGTACATACAAAATTAAATCTCCAATGTGTGAAACAACACTATCAGTCTGCCATAAGAGTGAACGAGATGAGTAGAGGGTCGACGTACTCTGCAGCTCCGCAATGTTATGATGGCTACAGGCGGTCTCGACACGCATATTACTCTCATGAATGACTACCAAAGTGGATTGGCAACCTGAAATTTTAAGTCAGTTGCCAGACCTCTCAGACACAGATGCTTAGCAATAAATATAATAAAATACGGGATCAGTATTCCATTAGAGAATCTTTAGCAAATAGATTTATTTGTTAGCATGGCGTAAAACGGCAAGTTAATACTTATAACTTCAAAGAAATAAATCACAATGTTTTCATTGTTCTAGTTAGTATTATATAAGAACTTAGTTGTGTCGAATCTCGCATGATTGCCCTTGAAACCTAAAATGAAATTTGACAACAGTGTATACTTGTCATTTTCTAAAAAGGAGAGACTGATATTAAATTAAGCATTAAGTTTAGAGAATCATGCCAGAATTGACACCATTCTATCATTAAGAGCCCTTTTACAAAATTGCGCCGCTACCGTACTGATCGGCGCGTAGGTATATTTGCACTAGTATATATTGCATTTTACGGGTGATGTTTCGAGTCTTATAAAATAATTATTAATGAACTAATTATAAAATTATATACATATTTCAGTAGTTCAACGATAGTAGATTAGTTTTATGAAAGTTTTTGATAGTAATTCTATTTAATTCAATATCAAAATACGAGGTAAACCTGCATTATTTTTTGGGAAAACTCACGGAGATTAGATGTCATCATCTGGTCATTTGGTGTCGTCCCCAAGACTGTAAGGCCCTCTTCACATGCACACGGTCACGGCACGGCCGCCATGCCGTGCAACCGTGCTAGCTCTTTCAAATGTATACGGCTTACACACGGTCGCCGGCTATGGATGTTGCAGTATTATCAAGAATTTTGGGGGAACGACGACGTCTTTTATCATGGAACAAAAAAAAATTCTTTTCATTATCATCTAATTCTTCGAAACTACTATTTAATCCTATATATACTTCTTTCCACGCTTCTTTTGTCTCGTTCCTGTTTTTATAAGACGCG